TTTAGGTTTCTTTTTTTTTTTTTTTTTTTTTTTGCATTATTTTATCCCAGTAAGAAGCAGGAATGAAAGTCTGTAGGCCAAAACATTAACTGTCCAGTGAAGGTGTGACCCAGCAAATCTAAAGAACTCAATAAACTTCAGATTGACATGTTGAATCAATCTTAAAAAAATACTGTCCATTCTCGAGAAGGAATAATGGACTTCAATAACTTGTATTACATAGGATGAATCTTCACAGATACGTGGGTTGAGGGTAGAGAGGGACTGATTTAGTCTGAGAAAGTCTTTTCCTCTCTCTGTTTTGTAATACTTCTAATAGACCTATTTAGCTTCACATCACTTCTGTAAGCAGATTATGCTTTTCTTTGCATTTCTATGATGGAGCATAGTACTTGATATAGTAGTGGGTATGTATTAAATAATATATAAAGGCATGAATGAGCAAACTTTGTCTAAAAAGAAGTTAAGGCCATTTATAAATTTTTGCTGAGTTGAATGTGCTTTTTTTTTTTTTCTAATTCTTCAGTTTAGAAATGAATAGTGAAGGTTCCTATTTAGAGAATGCTCTATGTTCTCTAAATGTGTAGACCTCAGGACACTAGGAAAACCTAAATCATTTCAAAATGAACGAATAAAACATTACCTAAAATTCATTCAGCAAAATTAAGCTTCACTTGTGAAAACTTCATTTAAAATTGAAGGCATCCATTTGATACATGTGTACAATACCACATATGTCCCTCACCTTAGAAATGTGTTAACAAGTTAACACTTGTTAGTTTTTTGGGGGGGCCAGAGAGTTTTTAGGAGACTGCCAGGAAGTCTCCAAAACACTCACGATTAGATGGTAACAGTGGTGATGTTTTGGAAATGTTGTGGCCTTTGAGACATAGCATGAGTTTGCAATAAGATAGAATATGTGTTTGCTACATTAGATTTCTATTATCTTCCCAAATGCATATGGAAGGTGTCTCCTTTACCTTGGGACCCACCAAAAACCTGCTGTTTTTCCATCAAATAATATTAGGCAAAGATTAGGAGTAGAGAGATTTTTTTGGCCTATAGTGCTCTGTGAAAATGGAAAGGGCAGGCTTACAAGATAATAAACTTCCAATTACTGGAAATATTTATTAGAGATTGGAAAAATTTGAGAAGATTCTACATTAGAAGGAAGATTGGATAAAATTTGTGTAAGCAAATAAAATTTCTGCTTACTCCAGTCTGCACTGTAGAAATAGCTTAGGCTGAATTGGTGAAAAAGAATATAGCACAGTATATGAATATAGGAACAAAACTCTTAAGAGTCAGGAATTTTTCTTTTTTTGAGAGGGAGTTTCACTATGTCATCCAGGCTGGAGTGCCATGGCACAATCTCAACTCACTGCAACCTCCACTTCCTGGGTTCAAGTGATTCTCCTGCCTCGGCCTCCCAAGTAGCTGGGATTACAGATGCCTGCCACCACACCCTTGCTAATTTTTGTATTTTTAGGAGAGATGGGGTTTCACCATGTTGACCAGACTGGTCTTGAACTCCTGACCTCAGGTGATCCACCTACCTCAGCCTCCCAAAGTGCTGGGATTACAGGTATGGGCCACTGCACCCGACTGGAATTTTTCTTCATTCTGGGAAAGTCTATTGGTTTTGGTTTTTGTTTTTTTACTTTAACCTAGTATTTAAGAATTTTTCTACTTTTTCCTAAAGCCATTTTGTGTTTATTTTATTGTTATATAGTATTCTTCAGGAGTTCAGCCTATACTTCAGTTGTTCTTTTTGATACAGTTTGGCCTATATCCTGTAATAATTCTTGAATGCGTTTCTGTCAGTGGAGTGACAGAAGGCCATTTGTGCTGTTAAAATGTGTTGCCCTTGGCAAAGGACTAAAAGGATCACTTTGTGTGTGTGTGTGTGTCAGTGTTTACTACTGGTGCCTTGTTTGAATCACATCCTTCACTGTTATTCATTAGGTCATTTGTGTCTTTAGTCATTAAACTTTGTCTCATTCCTCAGGGAGAGAAAGCACAGTGAGACCATAAAAGATGAAACTGGCACCTCATTTACTTCATAATATGGAATTCACTGCTTCCAAAATGAAACCAAGTTGATTAGATGACACTGATAACTGTTATCTTTTTAAACGTTGGATCAATTGCCTTTTGTGTGTCTTCATTGTATCACCAGAAGGCTCAAGCTTGGTGGCACACACAATTTATTCTTGGCGGTGTATGTTGACCTTTGAGATAATGGAAAATTATTTTAGGGCTCTAATTTCTATCTCTTCTATCTTGGGTGGCATTTTCTGTATAGTACCAAGCAGCACCTTTTACTTTACACTTTAAAGGAAGGAATGAGCTACAGCTATGATTTTAAGATGGGAGTAAAATCTCTGTTCTTTCCCCCGTATCTTATCATTTAGTGCTATATCTCATCTTTTCTACATGAAAATAGTTTTGCATTTTTGGACATGGAGCCTTACCATTTGGACTTCCCAGACCTATTTTTATTTCTTATTCCAGTACTTGCTGTGGAACTGCTGACTGGCTATTTTTTTTATATATATTTTATCTATGGAAAAGCAGAATTCCAAATACTTCCAGATAATGCATATTACAAAGAGTAATTTCTTTTGTCCTTGCTAATATTGTGCTATTTTCTTCTCAATATAAGTTTTCCATGGCAAATCTTTGCAAAATTGAAACTGTTTCTTACTTATGGGAAGTCCAAAAAATGATGGATGACTCAACTTTAATGCCTGCATGCTTCTCAAGCACGTAACAGTTTTGCCTGATTCTTTCCATGCACTTGACCACATGCCCTAGACCATGATTCAATAGAAAGGTTAATTGCAAGGTTCTTTAGGTCATTTGTAACAGTGAACATGGCTGTACATGAAGTATTTGTGTTTATTTCCTTTGTAAATGTAAAAGTGTCCCCTCGTTTGATTGTGGACATGTCGAAGACTCTCCGAATCTCTCAAATACCTCGTGTGGGAGTGCCCACTTATAGTTGCTTAATGAATACTCAACGATGCTAAATAGTTTTTTAGCATTTTCAGCCATCACTTAATTACTTTCTCATATTCAACCTATTAGAATTTTATGGTTGACATGAGGCTTGTTCTGGAAACAGATCCATTTTGAACCTTATGGACTACAAGCTAATTACAAGTTAATGTAATGTGAAAATAAAAAGTAGGTCATTTGAAGGCCAAGTGGGCAGTGATAGACTTCATCTCTAATCCAAAATACTTGCAGTGGATAAGCTTTCCTAGCACTATTGTGTATTTTTTTTTTTCTGTTTTTAAATTTTGGTGTGAAAGGATAACTTACGGACTA